GTCACAAAAAATGTTTATTAGTGATGAATAATCACTTTGTCATAATTACAAGTACAAATGACGAAACAAATTCGTCACTAAACTGGTTCCATATTTTATATTCAATTTAAATTATTATTTCACAAATATCCCTGCTCATATCCCAATAGCCTTTTAATTGTACTAAGAAATCCACTAGCTATTATACAGCACTCCACAAAAAAATTCACTAAACAATTTATATTATAAATCAAAATGTATCCATCAAACAACTTTAATAATAATCCATTAAGTATCACAAAAAAACCATCAAAGCAAATCTCAAAATCAACTACATGGAGTCCACAAAAAAAAAAAATCAACACTCAATCTTATTTTGCAACTACAACTAAGCATCAGTTTAGGAAAAAAAAATTCAACAGCTGATCTTCATTTGCAAGTATGCTTCCGAACGTCATCAAAGCCAATCTACAAAAAAAATAAACAAGGCAAACATTAACATAGAATGTATATACATAAATTTTATTAAAATAGAAAAGTTTTATTATAAACTTAAAGCCAAATATCAGAAACTTAACAAATATACAGAACTGTTCTCAAGATCACAAGCTTGAAGTTATCTGAACAGAAATTAATAGAGATTAACTAAAACGATGAATACCATGCTCATTCCCACCCATGGGCTTTGCAATGATCACCTTAACATGGCAATTCACTGTATCCCCAGAATTATGCTCGAATCAAAAACTGGGAGTGACGCACGGACAGCAGCCAAACCAGTTATAACACTACAACATCTCATGGTAAGAAACCAGGGCATGCAGTCAACGAGAATGGGAAGGAACAAATATTGTGGCTGCTGCACAAATGGGATTTAAAAAAATTATGTCTATGTGTGTGTATATGCATTTGTAGGTATGTATTATGTATTTTGATACTAAAACAGTAGTGCTAAAGTTATTAGTTACTTAATATTTCTCTAGATGGAATTAGTATGTACTCACCCGTTGCCCAATTTTTAAAGAATTTGAAGCCCAAGTTCTTGATCCAGTAACCATGAGGCCTACTACTTAATGAGATTATATGATGGGAAGTAGAGAGGAAGGTTAAACTATGGCCATGGCTGGTTATAATAAGAAATAAATTTTGATGGGAATTTGTATTACCATATCTTCCTCAAAGTTAAAGTATGAAATCTATACGGGCAAGTTTGTGTCGCATCTCTTTGAGTCTAGGTATCAAGTTGCATCTCTAAAGTTTAGTGAAAAATTCACAAATCTCTGTCATGGTTTGTTTGCTACAAGTTGGATTATCAGGTTGCTGATAGTTTGGTGTTTGGAGTCAGGATATATTGTGGACAGCTTAAACTGTAGATCCTTCCACAAATATCTGTAGCCATTGCTAGTCTCAACCCAATGTTCAGCCCATCTAAGTTCATTTTTGGGAGATTTTGGTCATGTTTGGTTACCAATAATTCTTCAATTTCCAAATTATTTGCTGTGCAAGCACTTGAATTCAGGGTCATATTTATTTCCTCTATCCTTCGTTTTTTTTTTTGAAGCAAAATTGAAGCAAAATTAGGCTATACAGATACTGAAACAAAACTGAACACAAAAAACTGAAGCAAAACTGAAGCAAAATTACCCAGACCAGCAGCCCAGCAGATCTATCCATTCACACAGCATACAGATACAACCAGCAAAGCAGAATGATACCAAACAACAGAGCATACAGATACCAACAACAGATCATACAGAGCATACAGATACAAACAACAGAGCATTCAGATACTTGTGACTTAGGCTATACAAATACCAACATCCACAGATACAAGCACACTTAACAGCAGGCTATTATCTGACTTATTTTTGTCTCTACTTTGGTTAGTGTGTATTTTAACTAGAGTCATGCTAAGTAAGAATTTTGATAATGAATCTATTTTCATTAAATACATCTTCAAAGTTGTTAAATCTTAGTTAATAAGTAGTCAAACTGTTGTACTTTAACTGATATATACTAACCAACATGAGGAAAATAAAATGATAAAACGAGCGAGACAGGACATCCAAAAATAAGTAGAAGGACCAACTAAAGACCTATTTTCCTACATCCAGCAGTTAGCAAATCCAGGAAATCAAGGCAAATGGGCAGCAGCAAACGGGCAGCAGCAAATGGGAAAGGATTAACATTTATAGTTGAATAAAATTACAAGTTTTCATCTCTAATACAATTATATTTGAATTTCCATCAAATTGTAACTAGTTTGTCTACTCACCACTTTTTGGTAATTTTTCTTAAAATAAACAGTCACAATGACAACTTGAATAATAAGATTCCTCAGAGGATTAAAAATTCATAACACCACAAAAATTCCATGTCTAGTTTGTGTACATACAAAGAAATGCAAAAGCCTAAAAAGTTACTGAAAATGAAAGACCTAAACATTTCAACCAAACATTGTATGACATCAAGTGAGACTTGAAATTCAACTCAAACACATAAAAATCTTCACAATACTGATAAATTCAAATAAAATCTAACCCTAAAGAAGTGTTGAAAACAATTCAAATGAGGCAAAGACCTAAACAGGACATTTCTAGCAAAAAACAGAAAAAGGTTCAAACACTCTGCTCCCGAAAGTCAAATTTCAAGACCAAACAATCACAAGATTCGACGAAATCTGATCCACATAATTGGAAAACTTTAAAATGCCAAAAATAAAACCAATTCTACAGTGAAAACAATGGATCTCTCACTAGACTAGCAAAATATATTGAAAACGATACGAAAACTTTGACCAAAAAAAGCTGAAAGTGGAGTCTAACACTATGGCATCAACATAAGACTCTATATAACTTGCTTTAGTCCATTGAAAAATAAATCCATCAAATGATTAACATTTTCACCTCATCAAATTATGTAATGACAAATGCCAAATAAAGACATTAAAATCTTACCAAGAAACCCAAGAGAGAGAAGCAAAGCAATGAAAGCGAATGGCAATCCTACCAAGAAACCCAATGGCCTGCAATCTGCCATTTAAATTTATATCTCTCTCTCTCTCTCTTCCCTTTCTTTGTTGTTTGTTTGATTCTCTTCTCTCTACTCCTACAGATTTTGTTACATTGAAGGAGAGCCTTCCACTGCGGAACAAAGAAAAAATTCAAAAAATAAAATAAAAATAAAAAACTCAGTGATTAGAAAGAGGGAGGGAAGAAAAGATGTCAAAACCGTTTCCTCTTATTGTGGAAGATAATATATAAATTAAGGTAAAAAAATTAATGTGATAGTAATATTATCTCATCATTAACACGTAAAAATTAAGATAAATAAATTTTTTCTAAAAACAAATAACATAAACAAGTAAATTTTTCTATTGCATTACTGACCTGAATTTTCAGTTCCTGTAAAACTTGGCACCTTCAGAATTCTATCTTTGTAGCTGAAAGCATATGGGTTTTAAGTGAATATATTCGTGTTCATATTTTCAACAAGTCTAATAGTTATACTTTGGTTTACAAATACCATCGGGAAGATTTCATTAATTATCTGTGCTTGAACTCACTTCACATTGTGAACTTTCACAAGTATCAACTTTGTCATGATTGATATAAACCTTAAAACCTGCCAAGAGAAACTTAGCATGAAGGAAACCATATGAAACCATAGCAAAAATAACCATTCAAAGTCCTATATGACAAGAACAGGCAAGTTAATTCGTTATGCTTTGATATTGAGGAATAAAATAAAATAAACCAATTTCATTGGCAATAAATGTCATAAGCACATGAACATAATAAGTTTTCTCTTATAGGCATATTGTCAAACACAATGTGTGCAAGGTATACATATTAATAAGCACTGATTTAACACACAAATGTACAAATCCAATACCAACATCTGCAAACAAAAGAAATTGAAAAACATGATCCTAAGTAAGAAACAAGTATTCATAGTGCTCTCCAAGTGATTGTAGAATGTCACTTACCTTGACAATCAATGTTGTAGCACCGAACATGTTTGGAATGTCTACCCCATTGAGATAAGCTTTGATTTCTAGGATACCAGGTCCAGCCGCAGTGGGTGTGAAACACACACACAGAACAACAACAACCATAGTCAGAATAAAATTAACACCAGCAAAAAATATAAATCCCATCAGGTACCTACATACACCAAGATGATTGCCAAAGCATTTTCTCAATTCCCAGCTCTAGCCAAGGTAAACATTTTTTTTTTTTTTGGGTGAAGGATATTTGAGAATTATCTGTTAGCTAAAAATATTTCAAATGAGTTTCTTAATTTAGTGCAAGGATATACAATACCTTTCTTCTTCTATGTAGCGAACCACGAAGAGATGCTTGTACCCTGCAATATTCTCGATTGCAAGATTGATGAACGTGGCAATTATGCTAGTTAGAAGCCTAACAAGGAAAGCCAGCGTCCATTTTAAGAAAATATACTGCAATACTTGGACTTTTGATCTGCTTCTCCAGTCATGCTTGAAGAGATCATTCTCATTGATCCTGTATAAAAAGAATTTGCTACATAAAGAAGAATGTGAAGAAGAAAAAGGAACATTAGAATCCAAGAACAGAGTAAGATGTTTTTACTCATAGTCCAAGCTCTCAATATGAGAGACCTCTTCATGAGTTGTAATAAAAGATTAGCATGGGTGAGTTGTAATAGATAAGCTCTGGAAAATAGGCAAGTAACAGGAGCACCGGTCGGTCTTGGAAATTTCTAGGAAAAGTGGTGAAATTTGTCTTCTTCTTCTATTATGTATGTGGATGATTTGAAGCCCACGTGTCTAGCCCAAAATTTGCAAGGAAAGAGTTAGAAACCAAGCAAACAGAAGCGTTATATCACTGGAGGCGGTAGCGTTATACCCCTCTTACACACTTTTTATATATGTTATAGATATATATCAACATAAATTACATATATAAAGCAGAAAAGGAAGATGAAAGCATACTTTTAACCATGATCTTGCTTGCGAGAGGGAAATTGAAGACTGAGGAGGAGGCATGAAGCCTTAAAGATTTGGGTTTAGTTTGAAATTTAAGAGATGTGACAATAATGGGGTGGGGAGTTACAGAGGAACCGAACCAAACTCCTGTATGTGTAAAGAGTAACATTGTGGACGCCTTGAAGCTCTGCTCATGATACACTATCAGGAGCTTTTAGATACTCATACTTTTTCAAGCATATATATATAGGTCATTAACAAATAAATTCATATCAATTCCATAAATAGATTATAATCAGCAGGTAGCTTTGGTAACTAGTATCCATGTTAAGCTAGATTACCTCTCCTGCAGCATAGTCAATCAGAAAAACCTTGGTCAGCATCTTTAGTGGATGTTGCAGAAGTTTCACGTATCACAAGTGCTGATTCAGCAAGTTCTTCATCAGATAGATTGGCAATATGCACGCCTCACAGCAACGTTGCAGTAGCAGCAGCCAGCAGAATTAAAGATGAAGAACATCTAAACAACAACGTAATCACTATTGTAGTGTGTTACCGAGTGGAAGCAGTAAAGATGAAGCCATATTTTCTTTCTTTTGGTAACAAAAATTGAATTTCAACGCAATCACTATTATTGTAGTCAAACAATAATTCTATATTTAGAATTTAGTATGTTCAAATTTGTAAATCTACACTTACAAGGATAGATGCTTTTGATTTTATTAAAATCAAAACTTTACACACAACAACAAATGAATAGCATTAACTAATTAAATATGCACAATAATTTAATAATCAAAGATGGATAGCTGTTAAGTGTTAAAGTAGACTTGAATAAATGAGAAGTCAAAAACTGAAACTAGAAAATGGATTTAATTTTCATATGTAGCATTTCACATTGTGGAAGGAAAGGGAGTTCAAAATAATATTAAAAGGACAAAAGCTTAAAACACTGATTAGATATTAAGGCCAAGTTTGGCAAGTTGAAAAAAAGTTAAAAAGCCAAAAAGTTACTCAAAAAGTTAAAAAGTTATCACTATTCACCAAAAGTCAAAAAAGATGACTGCACAATTCTCAATCCTAATTTTCCTCTATCCACTAACTTATACAAATTTTTAATACACATTTTTCCATAAAAAGTCAAAAAGTTAACCCAAACATTCATATTTTTTCCCCCAACTTTTTAGTCAAAAAGACAAAAAGTACACTTATTTAGGACACCCCAAACAACCCCTTAGCTATAATATTCTATAAAGTAGCATGAATTGTGAATATAGATTGAAAAACATGTAAATATTCTTGGGCCCCATGAAACCATGATAAATGAAGTATCTAGCAAGAAATATGAACCTGTAATGGCATAGGAGTGATGATAACTAGAAGAAACTTTAATAATTTCCTTGGAAAGTCTAGAAACTTTGAGGGGCTCCTGCATTAATAATACAACCAAATTACATGGTCAATTCAAAAGGAACTCCATAGGAAACATTACAAATAACAATCTAAACAATCACATCTCTTTTTCCATTTTATTGGTACTAAAATAGTCGAAGAAGATAGTGAATGAAGTTAACCAAAATAAACAGAAGTAGAAAAATAATATGTAGTTTGAGTGGGGAATTTATGCAAACATGTGTGAAGCATTGTAAAAAAAACACAACCAAAACTGTGCCATCATCAAATAACATGACCGTCTTCATAAATATGCCTTATTTTAACCCATAACAATGCACAATGAAAAAGGGTTTAATTTTACCAACATCAGCCAAGCAATCACACACAACCATATAAATCATGTCAGAAAGTCCTGCCTAGAAGATAACATACATACTCTTAACAAACATTTTATCATCTTGTAATTCATACCCTAAGGCTACTCATCATACCCATGCTTCCATCCATTATGGTCCTTCAGCACCATCCAGAGCACAGCCTGCAAGAGTACCATCAATCAGAAACTACTTTACTGCACAATCATCCAATAGCTGGTTGCTACCTGTATTCACAAGAAATGCCCCTGCATAGATCAAGGCACTCCCCTGTAAGTGCAAGTTATAGGAATCCCAGTATTTTTCTTTATAAAATAAATGTACTAAACGGAAGAAACCCTGGAAAGTACCAGGCTTTATATGCTGCAAACAATCTGCATTAATAATTTGAATTGTTTCGTTTGTCAAAGCACAAAGAAGAGAAATAAGGTCACTTGCAGCAAGTAAATCATTAAGGGTATCCATTCTTTGGGCAGGAGGGAACATCATTGAGGATCTACTCAACTTTCCTTTTCCCTGCATGAATGTAATTAAGGAAAAAATTAATTAGATGACACATTTCACTTTCCCTGTGTAACGTAATTAAGGGTAATTAATTAGATTAAGTCATATATATTAGAGGACAAATATCCAATACATGACAGGAACATCAAATTCAAAAAGCCAAAAAGAAGCACATCTAGTTCTCAAATAACATATATTAATGCCTCTGGTAATACATATAAACAAAACTTAATGTACTAACAACACTTCGCTGAAAAAGATTACTAGCACTTGAGATTCTTCTCAACTTGTTGCTTTTACAAAAAACCTCTAAGATTTCCAAAGATCAATAGACTAGATGCTCTCCAATGACAACTCTAATCAATTCAGTCACATATAACTATTTCTTAGTTCCAAGACAATAGATTGAACAACTCTAATACCTAACTAGGCCTGTCTCTTGTTAGGAATTTTATAGAGCTTTAATTTAAGTTTCGAAGTCAAGCTATTTCAGAAAACTACAGAACGAAATCTCATTGAATTTTCTTATTTCCTTTTCTCAGCAACCAAACAAAAAATGAACTACAACAGAGCAAGAAGAAGAAGAAAAAAAAAACGCAGCAAATCAAAGCTATAAAAAAGTGATTAATCAACTTACT